AGTGTTTAAAAATCTTATTTGCCTATCTGTGGTGACAATTCTAAAAACATTGATTGATTGATTGATTGATTGATTGGAGAGAGAGAGAGAGAGAGGGAGGGAGAGAGAGAGAGCATGCGTAGTGGCAGAGGCAGGAGAGGGAAAGAGAATCCCAAGCACACTTGCCACTCGGTGGCTTGATCCCATGACCCTAGATCAAATCAAGAGTATGATGACCAACTGCCTGAGCCACCCAGGCACCCCTGTGGTGCCAATCTAATTTTTTTTTTTTTTTTTGCCAATTCTAATTTTGAGTGCTTGCTTTGTTGACTATGGTTGGAAGGGGAGCAGCACAGAACATCCGACAGAGAAGGGGATGCAGGAAATTTACCTTCTGTGTGTGTCTGTGCATGTGCGTCTGTGTGTGTGTGTGCTCTCCCTTCTCCTGGCAACTGGTATGCAGCTCCTTGGGATGATACCCTGTCTCCTTGACCCAAGCACCCATACTTATAGAGAGCATCTGCCAAGGTGGCGGTGAACACGTCCACCTGCTGATTCTCATAATCCTGCTTGATTTTTGTCATATCATTTGTCACCATCTAAAATACTCTTGGTTATGGATTATTTATTTACAACTTTGTTATTTGCCTCTGTGAAAGCAAACCTCCAGGACCTAGTATTGCACCTTGCACAGAGTAAAGGATTTCTGTATAATGGAATGAATGGATTAATGCCATGCCTTCATTACTTACCATGATGAAAGTGCCTGCTCCTTACATCCATTGCCCCTGAGCTTGAAGCCCCCCCAGCTCTCGCCCTGGTCCTACCCTGCACAGTTGTGTTTTACAGATCTACTGGCTATCCAATCCTACCCGCTTTATGTAACCCAGGAAGTGGTCTGAATTGCTGGACCACCGATGCTCCCCCTTTTTTTTTTGTTTTCCAGAACTCTAAAGTATTTTTAAAATATATTTTCTGTTATATCTAGGGATTTGTGCTGATAGAAGATGTACAGAGTGTGCTTTTAGAAGCTCAACAAGCTGTGTTACTGATTTCCACAGTGTTTATTTTAGTTGGAGCATGGATATGACATTAAATAACATTGAATCTAATAGAACCTTACCCTCTTTGAGATTCTCTTGTTTTTATAAATATTTTTAAAATAGATAAATATTTCAAATATACAGAGCACAATATCATAAATGTTAATTAGTAACCATCCAGATTTCAGAATTCCAAACATTTAGCAACATTTGCTTTAGATCTTTTTTTTTTTAAATAAATTAGATCTCATTGTTGGAGCCTTTGTACCTTCCCATTCTATTCTTCTACCCTTCTCACTATCCTGAAGTTGATCTGTGTCCTTCCTTCCTGTGTCCATGCTTTTAATGCATGTTTTATTATTATTATTTTTAAAAGGTTTTATTTATTTATGCATGAGAGACACACAGAGAGAGGCAGTGACACAGGCAGAGGGAGAAGCAGGCTCCATGCAGGGAGCCCGATGGGGGACTCGATCCCCGACCTGGGGTCACACCTTGAGCCAAAGGCAGATGCTCAACCGCTGAGCCACCCAGGCGCCCCTTTTACATGTTTTTAAAACATATACTATATGTTTATAGACATAAACAGCATATTTTACTGCTTTACAGGATTTCAAATTGCACATAAATGATACAAAGTCTTTTAATCCTTCAGATTACATCAAGAGAAAAATCTCACTGTGGTCAAATTTTGAAAGTCTTTTCTGGCATTCGCTAATTTCTCTTTTAACAAAGGAATAGTAGGCCTTAGGCTAGAAGCCTGAAGCAGGCAGCCATAGAATTAAATAATATTGCCTTATTTCCCATTATATTTATTTTGATGGTTTCCTTCTATTTTTTAGCAAGTGTTGCTACCTTTCCATTTACAGTAGTGACTTATGTTTCATTTATTTATTTATTAGAGAGGGGGGGTGCACCCAAGCCAGTGAGTGGGGAGGTGCTGAAGGGGCAGAGGGACAGGGAGAGAGAGAATCTTAAGCAGGCTCCACAGCCAGTGCTGAGCCCAGTGTGGGGTTCATCTCACGACTCTGAGATCATGACATGAACAGAAATCGAGAGCCAGACACCAAACTGAGCCACCCAGGTGCCTCTGTTTCTTTTTAAATAAGAAAAAAAGAAAAGCATTGATTTAAAGAAACATATTAAGTAGATAATAGTATGGCAGGTACACAGACATGACCAAAAAAAAAATCAGGGAAAAAAAATCAGGAGCTTGTATTGAAGTGACTGAAATTTGACACACACTTGACCTCAATGAACAGGTTCAAGTTCCTTAATGGGACCCGTGCCAGCCCTACCTGATTTGACCTTTGCTTCCCTTCTCAATCCGGTCGCCCCTATTACCTCACCTCCAGCACAAACAGCTTGGAGTTTGCTCCTTCCTTTCCTAGATGAAAGTGCCTTGGCTATTGTAATCTTTCCTTTTAGGGTGTTTGCTGAATCCATCAGCACTCCCACTGCATCTCCGGCTCCACCTGACCCTGCTCCTCCAGTCAGCCAACAGGAACCCCCCCCCCCACTTAGTACCCATCACTGCACTGAACATACAGTCTTCCAATTCTAGATCCAAGAGCAGAATTTAGGGCCCTATCATGACATCATCATACCCTAAACAGCTTACTAAGGTGGAAAGAAATGATCCTCTTTGTGATGTTTCGGATAAAACCCGGGGTCTAAAACTGAGGTTGTCCATGCAAAAAACAAAAAAACAAAACAAACAAAAAAACTCATTTTTCATATGTATGGAGTTTAAAAAAAATAGGTTGATAGGGGATCCCTGGGTGGCTCAGTGGTTTAGCGCCTGCCTTTGGCCCAGGGCGTCATCCTGGAGTCCTGGGATCGAGTCCCACATCGGGCTCCCTGCCTGCGTGGAGCCTGCTTCTCCCTCTGCCTGTGTCTCTGCCTCTCTCTCTCTCTCTCTGTAGTGTGTCTCTCATGAATAAATAAAAGAAATCTTTAAAAAATAAATAAATAAATACAAACTAGGTGGATAGATCTCAATGATTTCTTTCAACCCCGAGACGGTGCATGCCTTGGTTATCTAGCTTAAGGGTACAAAGGAGACAGAGGAGGGAAAAATAAGGACCATGATGGGAAGCGCATGATGGGAAATGATAGGGCTTTTTCCTAACATCATTTCTACATCCCTTGGTGGCTTACTGCACCTCACTTGCTTGCATCCAGCCTCAAAGCCGGATGATCTTGGTAGAAAATGAGAGGTCACGTCGAGCGTTCTGAATCCAGCGCGTTGGAGCGGCGGCCGTGGGAACAGGTGGCCAGGGTCCCGGGCCGGGGCACCCAAGAAGCCCCATCACTGGACAGCAGCGGGACCCGGGCGCCGGGCGGACGCTGCTGCGCAGGCTTCCAGGGTCTGCAGTCCCGCTGACCCCGCGGCGCCGCCTTCCGTCCATTCATTCAAGAGCCTCCTTCGGGGGCTGACTTGGCACACGGGACCCCGAGGCCCGGCCTGCGCGCGGGCCGGAGGCCCCTCCTCGGCTGCAGCCGGGGTGCAGGGAGCGCTTGCAGGGCGACGGCTGCATTGGGGGGCACAGCTGGGCTCCGGCGTCCCTTCCTTCCTCCGCGGGGGGCCCGGGGGAAGTGACCTCACACTTTTGGTTGGGGAAGGTCATGTTGACCACTGTCCACGCTCAGCCTTTCCAGGAGCCAGCGGGGGGCGGGGGGTGGGGGTGAGCTCGCCCTCCTGCCGTGCGTTTGCACACACACCTCCCAGCCACCCGCCAAACTTTCTCCGCCCGCCCCGGGAGCTCAGCGGCGGAAATGCTGCCCGGGGGGCCGACGTGCGCCGCCCCACCCGCTGTCGCCCTTGGAGGGGTACCTGAAGCTGCGGCACCCGGGGGAAGGGAGAGGAAAAAAAAAAAGCAAAAAAAAAAAAAAAAAAAAGCTGCTCGTCTCGCTTCGGTCGTTTCCGTGGGGAACTGCGGTACGGGCAGGTCCTGGGTGTGGCGATGCCAACAGGGAACTCCGGTCTCCGTTTCTCCCGCTCCGGGGTAGCCTTCCCAGCCCCCGACCGGCGGGTGGCGGGTCCCGGATGCCCCCTGCCGGGCTCCCGGGGGTCGCTGGGCGCCCCCCCCCCCCGCCGCGGCGCAGCGCTGGAGCGCAGGGTGCCCGTGCGCTTCGCCCCCATTCGTTCCGCGCCTGGAGGCGGATCCCCTTCCCTGCACACAAGTCCTTATATGCACCGGTTGCACCAGCCCCTGCTACTCCAGCCTCACAAATAACTAACGGGGGGAGGGCGGCCGTCGCTCTTCCCCCCCACCCGCACCCCGCCGCCCTCCCCGGGATGTGCAAAGCGCTGGAGCATCGCAGCCTCCCGCGAACCCCCCGCCGCCCCCCGCCCCCCGCCCCCGTGCGAGGAGGGCCATTGTGCTGCAGCGCACGACCCGGACGCGCACGAGTCAGGGCCCTGGGCCCCCAGGGTAGGCCCGGCGGGGTCGGGAACCGCTTTCCAGACCCCGCGGGAGGAGCCGGGGCGGAGAGGGCGCGCCCCGCCCCGCGGGCTGGTGCGGAGGGCGCGGGTCAGGAAGCGCGGCCCCTCCCCGGCGGAGGCCCCGCCCCCGCCTCCCCTCCCCTCCCCTCCCCTCCCCTCCCCTCCCCCCGCCTCACTCCTCCCAGGAAGCGCTGATGGACAGCTCGGGGCGCTCCTCCGCCCCCACCCCCCGGCGGAGTGGAGGAGTTGATGTGTCTCATTATAACCGCCGAGGCAGCCGCCATCCGCGCACAGGCAGGGAAGCATGTCCCACTTAAATACACCCACGCAGCCCCTGCGCCCTTAGCCGAGCGGGGCGCGCAGCCCACACGCACCGCGGCTCGGGGCTTGGAGAGCCGCGCAGCTCGGGCTCCGGGACCGCGGCCGCCCGCGGGCGCAGCAGCGGGATCGGGCGTCGCGGGGCCGGAGCCGGAGCCGGGCCGGCCGGGCCGGGCCGGGGCGGGCGCGGGGGCTGGGCCGGGGCCTCTGGCGCGGCAGCCGCATGAGGACGCGGGGCCGGTAGACCAGGTGGAGTGTGCAAGGGGGGAGCCTCGGGGGGGCGCAGGGCCGCTGCTCCCGCGAAGAAGTCGACATGGCGAGCGACTCCCCGGCTCGCAGCCTGGATGAGATCGATCTCTCGGCGCTGAGGGTGAGCACAACCGGCTTCTCGGGGGTCCCCGCCGGGGGCTAGGGTCGGCGCAAGGCGGAGGCGCCGCGGCGGCGGGGGGGGGGGGACCGCGGCTTCCCGTTCCCGCCCCGGGCGAGCCTCGGCTCCGTGACCCCCGCGGCGGCGGCCGGGCTCCCCGGGATGCGGGGCATTCACCTTACCCCGGCGCCTGAGCCTGCCTTGAACGTGGGATGCTCGTGTGTGTGTGGCGGTGTGTGTGTGTGTGTGTGTGTGTGTGTGCACACGCGCCCCGGACGGCCACAGCTCGTGCAAGGCGCGACGCCCCACCGTCCCCCTCCCCTCTTTTTTCTTTTCTTTTCTTTTTTTTTTTTTTTTGCAAAACGTGGATAAATGCACCGGCCACTCACTTTGCGCAGCTCCCTGCAGGGTGACCGGGGCAGCCCGACGGCCCCGACCCCGCGACGCCGGTACCCGTCGGTGGCCGCCGCCCCCCAGGCCGCCCCCCGCGCCCCGACTCGGCTCCGCGCCCTCCCGCGCCCGCCTCGCGCACCCCTGTTTACGGGGTAACTTAGCCCTGCTTGCCCCCCCCCCTTTTTTTTTTTTGACTTTGTGGCCCTGACATTTCAGTTTTATGGGCCAACTTAAGGCAGGTGAAGGGATGTGCTCTCCGCTCTCCGCCGGTCAGACCGGAACTCCCGGGAGTGTGCGCGAGTGCGCGTGTGCCCGCGGCCAGCCCTTTGTGGGGAGAGCATCCACCTCCCTCCGGCCCCGCGGCTCGCTTTGCGTTTCGCCCCAGACGCCTTTTTTTTTTTTTTTTTTTCCATTGTATGGACTGAGACATCACTTGCCGTAGAATCCATTTTGCTGTTGTTTTGAGCTCCGGATCCCAGGAACCCCAGTGTAGCCTCGACGACGCCCCACCCCCACCCCCACCCCCCGGATCCCTACACGCTCTTTCGGGGAAGGGGGCCGAGGCTTCTTGCCATTGTAATGAGATGCTGCCTCCCGAAGAGGGGGACAGGGAGGGTCTGATGCTGCAGCCAGTGGGGGGGGGTCTGAGATGGATCGCACCCCAGTTTAAGGATGGCCTCTCCCCCTCTCCCCCGAACGAACGAAGACTAGGAATTAAAGGGGGAAAAAGCGACTCTGCACATATATCCTGGCAGCGCGGAGGGTCGCGGGCCCGCCTCGCCGGTGCTGTCCACGCAGCCAGCGGCGCGGGAGGGCTGCAGCCGGGAAGTTCACACGCCCTCCTGAGGCTTACATTGTTACACTGATGCCAAATCTCGGGGTTACAGACCTGAATCTCCACCCCTCCTCCTGCCACTGCCCCTTCCCTCACGCGTATCTTGAACCGTCCAAGTGCTACTTTTTCTTGCGGCTCCTTAAAGCCTCCCTCCCTTGCACGGCCTCCTCTTGTTGAACTTCCCCTCCTCTTCTGCTTCATCCTTCCCAGAGGTGAGGTTTCTGCGAGGCAAGAAGGAACATAGATGCCATTTGAAATGGCCTCTTTTTTTTTTTTTTTTTTTTGGCTAGTTGGGCAGCAAAAGCTCATTCATGTGATATTACACTAAGCTGTCTATTTGCCTGGTGCAGAAATGCCACATTCAGAAGCCGCAGCTCCCTGGGCAGCTGGGGGTGGGGGCTGGTAACAGGGTGGGTGCTTTGGCTAAGTCTGTGGTTTCCTGCCTTACAGGCTGTGTGTGTTCATTTGCCCTACTTTCCTTGCTGGGAGCTGCTGCCAGCGGGTTAATCAGGTGGATGGATGGCCCAGACTAGGGGTAGGGGAAAGTGGCGAAGCCCCGCAGGGGGTGGGGTGGGGGGTAGGGGGAAGGAGTCTGAACAATGGGCAAGGCTTGTGGTTTTCTCCTGAGCTGAATGTCCTCATCGCTCCTCTAATAGAAAGCAATCCGAGGCGATTTTTAAGTTGGCCTCGGTCGGAGGTGTCCCCCGTGGGCTTTTTCACGGGTCAGGTTTTCCGAGATCTGGAGCCCAGAGCCTGCAGGCTGGTGAGCAACCACGAGGGCTCACCGGGCCTGCCTGAGTGTGAATCACACACGGGGAGGCCTGTGCTCCAGAGATCTGTATTTTGAAAAGAGATCTTGCAGGATTCACTGAAATTGCTCTTTGTCGCCTGGGCTTAGTGCTTTGCCTCTGTATTTCTGCCTGCAGGAGGTGTGTGAAGAGGGAGGGCGAAGGCCAGCTCTAGAGATAGGAACCGCTGGCTGGCTGGCTGGCTGGAAGACTTAAATGCAGATGTGGAGACGATTGCATCCCCGGTGCCAGAGAGTATGACCAGTCTTGTAGGGGGTGAGGTGTGCAGGCGGGCTGCTGAGTCCAAGGGCCCCGTTGGTGATCTCCACAAGTCCGAGAGCAGATAATGTCTCTCTGTCTTTCCAAATTAGGAGAGGTGGGTTTATCCAGATGAGAGGTCTCATTAGTTCCTAACCCCTCAGGAAAGCCCGCCTGCTGAGAGCCTCGTGGGGAATGCCTGACCCCTGAAATGCAGCCAAGGTCAGTGGCATCTTGGAGAATTTGCTGCAGCCTTAACCAGTCCCTTGCTGTCTCGGTGGCTCTTTAATGTACACAATCAATGCTCTTTTTGTAAACCCTGAGCTCAATGCATTAAAAGCAGATCCTGTCTGGAGAAGCCTTTATCCTTCTCACTTTGGGGGCTTATTGTTCTCAGCCAGTGATCCCAGACTGGACCCAGTCTAAATTTTCCCCAAATAGCAACAATGCATAATTTAAACCAGAGCAACCAGTGACAGCACTGATCACTTAAATTATGCAAGATTTGGATGGTTTTAAAAAGTAAGATAAAACCGGATCTTCTTTGGTTAGAAGAGAGATGATCTGAATCCATTTTTTTTTTTTATTAGTCCTGATTTTTAAAGCTCTGGAGATAAACCAAGTGTGGGGGGAAGGGGATGATTTTATAGATTTAGAGCTGAAAGAGAATTGGACAACACTTAGCCACTCCTTCCATTTAATACCAAGCTGAAGCCCAGAGAGGTGTAGTCCTCGTCCAAGGTCACACAGCCCCGTCTCCCCTTGGAATGGGGGTGAGGGAAGCGGAAAGGGTAGTTTGGGGAGGAATCTGGGTGTCCCGACTTCTCATTCAGGGCTCTTTTCTCTAAGTCGCATTGTCTGTGGCTGGATCAGAAATCAATAATACGTTTTCTGCCTAAGCACAGAAAAAAAAAAAAATGGCAGCGAGGAATTATTTCACCAGAGTCATGGAATTTTATTTTTTGAGAATAGAGAAACTGCTCCATGCAGGTAAGCTCGTAATACATAAAGCCCTGGAGCATTCACAGAATTCATTTTTGCTCAACCCGCCTCAATTCTTCCTCTGTCGGCAAATGACTGTCTGAATCATCTAGGACAGATGGTTGTCCTGCATAGTACCCTGTCTCCGGGACCCGTCTACATCTCAGTTTGTCCCATCGGGTCAGTGTGGATCTGCACATTATTCGGATGTCTCTGCATGTGAGGTTTATGGAGTTCTATGTAGGTTTTGCATAATGTGTGTGGATCCTCATATATCGTGTTACGGTTATAAACTATCCATGTGGGTGTATGAAATGTGTGTTTACATACATGGGCTACAGAAAACAATCTACTCATTCAAACTAAAGGCTTGAGTCATTCTCCCTTCAAGACATCACAGTATTAAAAGAAATGAAACTTGCCACCGGTACGCTTTGTTACACATGGGGTGAGATCAGCCCAGAAAGCTTTTTGGAGATTAGCATACATCTGAGTCTGAGCACCTTGGCTGTCCTTAGTTTGGCCCATAGAGGAAGGCGTCCAAGGCCAAGATTGGCCGCTGCTGACTTCATACTCGAAGTTTCTGCCAGGACTCACACTCACTTTTCTATTTGAGCAGAATCAGATGACCTCTGCTTGTCTTTCCCCCTGCCCCTCACTGCCTCCTAGGCCCAGCTATTTCTTTGTCTCCCAGGACCTAGATTTAAGAACTGACCTCATCCGGAAGACTTGCACACATCTTTCCTGCTGCACTTTTCATCCTTGTGTTATAAATGGTGTGGGGATTATTTTCTGCCTACTTCATAAACTACGGGCTCCGTGAGGCCGGAGGTTAGGTCTTGCTCATCTTTGAGGCTGTAATTGCAGTTAGTTGCATAAACGGATAAATGCACAAATTGGTGAGTAAGTGAGTGGAGTGGGCTGAGCACTGGGTTCTGTGCCCATGTCTTAGTAGTTCTGTGACTCTGGGTAAGTCATGGAACTATAATTCATTGAAAAATGGGAATGATCTCAACTGTTTGCCTTCCTCATAGGCTGGCTTCAACAGCCAGATACAGTGTTTATGGCAATACTGTGAAAGCCGTAAAGCTCTACACAGATACACGAATCCATGATTACCCAGAATTTTATGGGAATCTTGATTCTACCATTTGACCCCAGTGATTTCACCTAATTGAAAATGACCCTGAGAAAAGGATAACAGAAGGCCTTGCATCTTTTTAATAGTGCCTTTTCCTTTTTATGTGGCAACATGACCTCATATGTTTCTCTGCTGGCCTGGGTTGACCTTTGCCCCGGTATCAGCATTCATTGCTTTTTTTTTTTTTTTTTAAGAATTTATTTTTCAGTAATCCCTACCCCCAACATGGGGCTCAAACTCACAACCCGGAGATCAAGAGTTGCCTGCTCTAATGACTGAGCCAGTCAGGCGCCCCTGGAGTATTTCTAAACCAGTATCCGGTATCAGCATTAATCATTAGAACTTTCTTCTTTTTTTCTTCTCTCTCTCTCATTTTTTTTTTTAATTTTCCCCTCTTTTTAATGGATGAAGCATTTTTAAAACAAAACCACATTTATCATGCCTGTGTCTTTTCAAAGTTTGTGTATTCTGGAGGGGAGTGGGCACCTGAAATGATACGAGTCCAGTATTTAAAACCTTCTGGTCAGAGGTCTCGGTGGCGGGAGGGGGTGGGGGTTAAAGAAATCTTGAGGCCTTATTAATTCCTTACCCCCAAAGCACTTAATTA